TTGTGAAACGGACTTTACGTCCTAGCAACTTAAATAATTCTCTTTGTTTGCGCAGGTGGCTAGAACTGGAAGAGTGGCACTGGTACACGGGAGTCAGGTGTTGATTCAAGGTACCTTCGTGGTTACTCTTACCCATTTTAAGTATTTATTTCTGGAGTTCACTGCACGGGGAATGCTCGTTTTCTTTCTACAAGCTAGACGGGCAATTTTGTGTATACCTTTGTTTGAAGAACGTGCTAAACACAGTTTCTTGCAATTATTCATTTTGTACAGACAGGCTGACACATGCATGCGTATGGGCATGCACCTGTCCCACGATGGCGCTTACATTTTTTTTTTTTAAATATTTTTTTCTTTGATAATTATAATCCTAAACTATAGAGAATATGTTTATCGAATAGCATTGGACATTATAGTGCAAAATATTTTAATTTCTTTTCTCCTTCGATGCTATTTAGTATTGTCCAATCCACCTTATCGCAGTAATAATTCTTTAGATATTTCCTAAAACAATGTAAATAGTGTCAGCTGCCTTGCTCGCCCTCAAGAAAGTACTTGTATACACGTTCATATCTATCAAAAATCCCATTTATGGTTAACTCGTTGCTCCCGAGCAACAGTAGGGGAAGCACTTACCATCCCTCCATCTCTTTTTGTTTCGTTAGTCAGGCCAGGCACAAGACGAACACCAACCTGTTACCATAAGTGCGGCAAATTTCCTGCGGCGCTCGTATGATGGCCCGGATGCCCTGGTATGTATGTGGCCTGACCGAGCACCCAGTTTGTGATAACTAGCCCAACCTGTTCTACATCTGGAGAACGAGGGTCGAGGGCATGCTGGTGGTGGCCCTGGATGTTGAATATATTTGTTTTGGCTTTTCTTTTTTTTTTTTTTTTTTTTTCAAACTCTCCAATTGTGTATTGACAGCTGTTTGGCCTTTTTTTTTTTTTTGGTTTTTAATCTGTTTTTTTCTATTGTTGATAATCATCATCTAGGTTCAGTCATATCGGAGTCCCTAAACAGGAAAATGAAATAGAAGAAAAAGAAAGAGATACATTTTGAAAATTTTAATTTATGAACTAAATCAGGGGACATTCATAAAAAAAAGAAAAAAAAAAGAAAAAAGAAAAAAAAAAAGGGGCATTCAAAGAATCTTTTGACACCTTCAGTTTGATTTTGGTTCTTCTTAATACCATATCAGATTCTTTGTAGAACCCAATAATGTTCATCTATTAGAACAGTCTGTACAAATAACATTTTTCATTTTTCATTTGTCTTTACTAATGAATATCTCTTAATTTTTGTTTTTCAATCGATTTCTTTAACTTGTATTAAAAAAATTGATTTGTTTCAATTTCATTTTTTTTTATTTTAGAAGTATTAATTATTCTTGATACATATTAATTCATTTAATCTAGTTGAATGGATTATTGACGTTTTAATTTTGGAAATCAAATTGAAATTTAGGTGTATAGCTAGAGTTGGTCCAAAATTATATTTTTCTTCTCTCTCTAAGGAGATTTTAGATAATATTATCAAAAAATAAAAATTTTAAAAAGAAAGGGTAAAACAAACGAAAGAGCCTTGTGGATTGCAAAACATGGCCCAAAACCATATTTTTCTTTTCTCTCTAAGGAGATTTTAGATAATATTATAAAAAAATGAAAATGAAAAAATGAAAGGGTAAAGCAAACGAAAGAGCCTTGTGGGTTGCAAACATGAGAAGGGCACTAAAAACGAAATAAGAAGGTTTTTCTTACATTCATGTTAACGGCAGCGATTCACTCTCACTGCTTCTTTCTATGATTTATTTCATAATAACAACTTTGAAAATCTTATATCCCAAGCAGTCACATTCATTTCATCAAATGTTGTTTGAATATTGTTTTTAAGGATTTTAAGGTTGGACTAAGAAAGAATGATTTTACTTTGAACATGTTTGTGTAGTCACATGGAAGTTAGAAATATACTTTCGTGACGTGAGAAATTGTTAAGACTTTCACATTCATGGTTGGGTTCTAGTCGGCATGCAAGTTTCCACTTGAAAAGCGGTGAATCTTCGGCTGCACTCTTGAATTTAGAATTCAAAATCAAAGTCTGTAGCTCAATTCTAAGCATTTGAAGTGTGGTCAAAGGAGGTATATATATAGACAAGTGTAGCTTTCATTGACGAGGTCGTAGATGTGAAAAGGCGTCAATTTGATGGTCAACAACATCTATATCACCCTAATACGGATATGTGAAACTTAAATTAATAGTGCCTGTCATTTTTCATATTGCTACAATCGTTGAGCAGAGTTTTCGTGGTTGGTTGTTCGAAGCCTTGTAACCAATCTTGTTTAACTCTTATTCAGGTCAGATCAACTCCTTTAAAACACAAATGATGCACGTGACAATTTCTAATGAAAATAAATTTTTGGGTCTTATTTCGGCGGGGGAAAAAAAACCTCTTTCTTTCCACTTTTGTGTTTAAGCCTCCACTTTCTCATTTCAGTTGAACTGCTTCAACTCCTCACTATCGAAACTCCCATCTCTCTCTCTCTCTCTCTATTACGCACACAATAGTAATTAAAGTGAAAATGGTGAACCACAGACACATTTTTCCTGCATTTCTCTTCATCTTCTTCAGTCCACCCTTGGCCATTGCAGTTAGATACAATGTGTTAACGTTTGGAGCTAAACCGGACGGCGTAACCGACTCTACCATTGCTTTCTTGAAAGCATGGTATGCCGCTTGTGATTCCCAAAATCCAGCCACAATCTATGTACCACCAGCAGGAACGTACTTGCTTAAGAGTGCACAGTTTAGAGGGCCATGCAAGAACAAAGCCATAACCATTCATATTGATAGCACCTTAGTGGCTCCTTTGGATTACAATGTGATTGGAAATAATGGTAATTACTGGCTTTTATTTGAAAGAGTTGATGGGATTTCAATTCGTGGTGGCACCCTTGATGGCCAAGGAAATGGCTTGTGGGCTTGCAAGAAATCCGGCAAGAATTGCCCGAGTGGTGCAACGGTAAGTACGGTTGGTCGTATTATCTCGATCCATGTTCTATCAATGAACCTTTCCCGACTACATCTATAGCTAGTTTTGAACAAGTTTCTTCTGAAGTAGATACTTAAATAAGCTTATACGTTTACCATTGGTACAAAAGGCACGGGTCCTTTTCCAAGCCTCGATATTAGGAAAACATCATCACAATGCTCTAAAGTGCATTTGGTTGCCTTTTCTCGATCCATGTTATGTCAATAATCCTATCCCGAATACATTTGTAGCTAGTTTCGAAAAAGTTTCTTCAGAAGTAGATACTTGAAAAAACTAGTAGGTGTATCATTTGAACAAAAGCCGTGTCTCCTTTCCAAGCCTCTGTATTAGCCTATTAGGAAAACATTGTCGTCTCAATGCTCTAAACCCCATTATTTCACCATTTGAAGCGTTAATTTACATACTAATAACTGTCCTGATTAATCTCCCTGCTAGTGAGGGAGTGGTGGGGGAGACGGTTAATGCATATGTAATTAACTTAAATTTTTGTTTTTCAAAGTACATTTTCTTAGATCTTTTTGTTTTTCATAACATATTAATTTTTTTTAATATTTTTTAGGACAAAATAACTGCTTTAGATAACCTCCCTGGTATTCTTAGAATATTTGTTATCCAATACACGAAATTAAATTAAATTTTCTAGAATGCAATTCCTAGTAGCCCTTGTGCCTTTTCTTGTCAGATAATTTTATAACACTAAATATAATTTAAACATTAACTATATCTTAGGTATTTTGGTTCGATATGTCACTCTCTTAATCTTGTCAAGTCCTAAATTTATGACATTTCATGAAATTACATACTCTAATTTTGGCTAGACATAATTTTTCTCGTATTGAATTTTCGTTCTCAGACATTGGGAATTTCCAACTCGAAAAATGTGGAAATCACTGGATTAACCTCTCTAAATAGCAAAATGTTCCACATCGTAATCAATGGATGCCAAGACGTGAAAGTACAAGGAGCGAAGATTTTGGCCCCAAGAAACAGCCCAAACACCGACGGTATTCACGTGCAATTTTCAATAGGTGTAAAAATCTTCAACTCTAAAATCGGCACTGGAGATGATTGTGTCTCAATCGGGCCAGGCACCACTAATTTGGTCATCCACAATGTCGTTTGTGGCCCTGGCCATGGCATCAGGTAATGCTATTCAGTATCAGTTATATAGAGGTGCCGTTCATATCTGATACAGAGTAACCAGTTAATTACTGTGAATAGTTCTAACACCGCAAATTCCTATATGTGCAGTATCGGAAGCCTAGCCAAGGATTATCGAGAAGTCGGCGTACAAAATGTGACTGTTAAGAATGTTACATTTAAGAATACGCAAAATGGTTTAAGGATAAAGACATGGGGAAGACCAAGCACTGGATTTGTAAAGGGTGTTCTATTTCAGCATGCCATCATGGACAATGTCCACAATCCTATACTAATTGACCAAAATTACTGCCCACATAACAAAAACTGCCCTGGAAAGGTATACATTTTCTAACAGCTTAAAATAACTTTTATATTTAAAAGCCTCATACTGGAAGGATAAAACTTTACTAAAGACGATAGTTATATTAAATCAAACAGTTGATCTCCTATCCACAGTGGACATGATGACAATTTCAATGGTCGAATCTTACTTTTTCGACCTTTTGAAAGAAAAGAGGTTTGATCTGTTGACGTGGCAACATTACATCAACGGGTGGACATTATAACTTTTGTCCACTGTGGGCAGAAAATTATTTCTATAAAACCTAGTAAAAATTTAGCAATATTTCAAGAATTAATTTTTCATTTATGTACGTAATTCTTTCAGGTTTCAGGTGTAAAAATTAGTGAAGTTACATACAGAGACATCCAAGGTACGTCAGCAACTCCAGTGGCAGTGAAGTTTGATTGTAGTAAGACAACTCCATGTCAAAGAATAAAGTTGGAAAATGTAAAACTTACTTACAAAAATCAAAAAGCTCAAGCATCGTGTGCTAATGCTGCCGGAACAACTTCCGGTTCAATCGAGCCCACCAGCTGTTTGTACTGATTCAACATTATTGAAGAAGAAAAGAAATTTAGAGTTCTTTAGATTCATATATGCCTTTTGTAGCAAGTGACATATTACTTGGAAAATGAAGATAATCTACCCAATCCTGGAGGAAAAAAAACCTTTGTGACCCCATGTCTCTAGTATTAATATTTTCCCAGCATTCCAATGTCTCTTCAGTTTTTAATGCCTAAAACATTCTTTTGCAAATATGAATTGACAGATTCATCAATAATTTTTCTTTATGTGGTCTGGTTATAGAAGATTTTAAAGATTTAATATTTGGAAACTTGAGTGCTGAAGTTTTGAGCGAGAGAGAGAGAAAGATATGAGGTAACACTTGTCATTAATTAACAGAGTGAATTAACTACTTCTGAGACATGACATGAACGTGAAAGAGGTTCAAGAATCCATTTTCTTTTTATAAAGGCTGAAATTTTCAATGTGCTTGGAAAACCTTCCATCTATTATTAGGAACAAATTGGATGGAAATTTTTTGGTGGGATTTCATCCTTTGCACACCGATTTGTTTGGAGGAAAATTAAGTCAAGCCATGTATCAACTATTCTCTACATGATGTGATTTTTTATTCTTTTTGGGGTACACGATAAAGGGTTGCTTATAAAAGAAAAAACTACAAGTCTAGCGTCTTAAGTTTTCTTGTTCTCTTTGTGGTTTGTACAAATAGTAGAAATTCGAGGGTGTGATAATGCTTACGTAATTTTTTTTTTCCTAACGACATTTGGGAGTTCGGATGAATTCTATTTGATTGTAACAATTTTCATGCAGTATAATATTTCTAGCTTTGACAATCCATAAATTTTTCTATTGGCGTTCAGCATATATTTTCTATTTTTCTACCTCATTAATCTTTTTCTCAGAACAAAGATAATGTGGACAAAAGCAAGATTGGTTTGTTATCATTGATATCAAAGCATCAGGTCATTTAGAGCATTGGAGCACACAGCACACTGAAAATATGATGGAATGATCAATTTTCACTTGTGGCAAGTAGAATTGAAGGACATTTTGAACTTACACAAGGCTTTAACAGAAAAATCGACCATTAGACTGTTGGAATTTATTTGTTCAAAATCAAAAGAAGAAAAGAAAAAAATAAAATAGGGTTTAACCATTCGACCACATCGATTAAGCCCATGCGGTCGCATGAGGCCCGTTGTAACCATGCGACCATGTTATAGCCTATGCGGTCGCATGGTTGACAATATATGACTGTTGGGTTGGTTTTTTTACCCTTTTTTATTTAAAAATTGTTGGCTTTTCATCCTTGTTTTGCATTATCTCGTGAGAACTTGCAAAGGCCTATAAATAGGTGATCCAAACGCAAGAAATAATAGAGAATTCCATTGAAATTTATCCCCAAAATTATTCTTCCAAAATTGAAAGGAAATTATCGCATAATCATTTCTTTTCTTTTCACTTGTTCATTGTGAAGATACACTTTTGCTTTTTGATGTTTTTCTCTTCAAGGCTTGTTTAATCTACGAACTATTTGCCGAAAATCCTTAAAAAATATTAGAAAGAAGGCAAATAACCTTTGAGGACGCGAGATTAATTTCGTGTTCAAGCCTTCTGTTGACACACTAAAAGTGCAGCCCAAATCGAATAGTCCAAGGAATGAAACTCAATTGAGGAATTCCTAAATCAAATAGCCCAAAAAATGAAATCCAAATTGGGCAATTCAGGATAAAGGCCCAGACATGATTATTAATGAATGTAGTGGAAGCCCACAAACACAGTAACATTATCGCCCAAGTTTGCAAGACGCCTAAGATCTGAGCGAATGGAGTGCCTTACAGTCGCCCAGAGCGATGACACTGTTCTCGCCCATACCTTCGAATCGCCCAGGATCTTAGCAAACATAAAATGTTATGGTTATCCAGAAATGCAATTATTGAAGCGGTTATTGAGTAACCTTACACATTCCACGATTCAAGGAACCCAGTTGAAGGCGGTTGAACGACAAAGAGTAGTGGCAGCAGTTAGAGACGGCAGTTCCACGACAATAAATCTTAATCAAATAAACTCCCTAATTAGATTAATTGATTAACTAATTAATAATTAATTAATTGTTTTGATCCATTTTTCTAAATTAGTTTAGACAACCTTAACTACTCGAAACTTGAAACATATGTGCATATAAATTAGATGTTATATAGGAAGGCATTTATATAATGAATGTTTTATTAGTAGATGATTATAGACTCGACTATGGGGATTTTTTGAATGGTTAGTTTTATTCTTGTTGTTTTATGGGCTTATAAGCTCTTATTTATTTTAGACATGCGAGTCCGTTACGATTATTATGAGCATGCGTGCATAATTAGCATAAAATACAGGTTGCAACTGGACTAATTAAAGAAGCAAGAAGAGAATGAGACCATATAGATGGAGCATTATATGAATCAATGCAATACTCCTCGGAATTGACCAACTAGTCTTCCTTACAACTCGAAAAGACTAGATAGTAAAGTTCATAATCGCCTTTCATCATTACAGTTAAAAACCATGGTCCTCAACTAATCTCAGTTTATTGAGTACACTCAAGGCTGGTCTATTATGAATATGTTTAACACATTGAAATATTAGATATTTCTAAATGATATGTTTGATTTAAGTAAAATTTATCTTTTATTGAATACACTAAAAGAGATAAATTTTTTAGGCATGTTAAGTTAACACATAAGATAAGTGAAGACAAAGAGTTGTCAACTTAATTATCCGAAAGTTGTATGGAGATACAATTGATAATAATATCTATCCAAAATTTTTATTAAGGCTTGTTCACCACACTTAATGTTTTAATATAACAAATAGGATCCCAACTTATTGGGAGTCAAGGATTACTACAAAAAATAACCGATTTCGTGACAAAAAAAAAATGTTGCAAAAATTGAGATATTGTTGCAAAAGTAATTTAGCGATAATAATATATTTGTTGCGAGTATTGTCACGTTATATAAGGCACAGAATATGTTCTTCGACGACTTTCGACCATTCATTATATTAACAAAACCGTAACACTATTGTTTCATTCAAAAAATACGAGATAGCAACACAATATTTGTAGCCATAATGTTGTAATAATGTATATTTTTTGCAAATGTTTAGTCATAGAATGTATTTTACGACAACTTTCCCAATTCGTCGCCTAAACAAAATCGTAACATTATTTGTTTGATGCAAAAAATACAAAATAGCAACATGATATTTGCAGTCATAATGTCGTCGCAATGCATATATGTCGCGAAAAAGAAAATAAAAGGGCGACAAATCAATTGGTCGCAAGGATTATTCCGATAATTTTTTTACGAGAAAAAATGTTTGCTGCAATTATTCTTTTGAGGTGTAACTTTTGCTACCTATATTCTATCTCGTAATCTTGCCTTATACTTTTCAATAGTTTCCTTTGCTTTCATTTTTCTTTTAAAAATCCATTTGTTGCCTTGTTTACTTTCTGGAAGAAGATCTACTAGCTCTCATGTATGATATAGCAAAATGGAATCTATATCACTTTTTATGGTAGCTCTCATTGAGGTTTTCTGAAGAGTTCGCAACTTGTTGATAGCTTTGAGGTTCACTTTCTAGCATATAGGTCAAAAAATCAGGATCATAAAATTTTTCTATCCTTTTCCTTTGCTACATTTTGGTTCAACCTCAACCTCTTTTTTTTTTTTTTTTTTTTTTTTTGTTTTTTTTTTTTTTTTTTTTTTTCACCCTCTTTTGTGTGAGACTTGTTGATAATCATCATCTATTGTTGATAATCATCATCTAGGTTCAGTCATATCGGAGTCCCTAAACAGGAAAATGAAATAGAAGAAAAAGAAAGAGATACATTTTGAAAATTTTAATTTATGAACTAAATCAGGGGACATTCATAAAAAAAAGAAAAAAAAAAGAAAAAAGAAAAAAAAAAAGGGGCATTCAGAGAATCTTTTGACACCTTCAGTTTGATTTTGGTTCTTCTTAATACCATATCAGATTCTTTGTAGAACCCAATAATGTTCATCTATTAGAACAGTTTGTACAAATAACATTTTTCATTTTTCATTTGTCTTTACTAATGAATATCTCTTAATTTTTGTTTTTCAATCGATTTCTTTAACTTGTATTAAAAAAATTGATTTGTTTCAATTTCATTTTTTTTATTTTAGAAGTATTAATTATTCTTGATACATATTAATTCATTTAATCTAGTTGAATGGATTATTGACGTTTTAATTTTGGAAATCAAATTGAAATTTAGGTGTATAGCTAGAGTTGGTCCAAAATTATATTTTTCTTCTCTCTCTAAGGAGATTTTAGATAATATTATCAAAAAATAAAAATTTTAAAAAGAAAGGGTAAAACAAACGAAAGAGCCTTGTGGATTGCAAAACATGGCCCAAAACCATATTTTTCTTTTCTCTCTAAGGAGATTTTAGATAATATTATAAAAAAATGAAAATGAAAAAATGAAAGGGTAAAGCAAACGAAAGAGCCTTGTGGGTTGCAAACATGAGAAGGGCACTAAAAACGAAATAAGAAGGTTTTTCTTACATTCATGTTAACGGCAGCGATTCACTCTCACTGCTTCTTTCTATGATTTATTTCATAATAACAACTTTGAAAACCTCTCTAAGGAGATTTTAGATAATATTATCAAAAAATGAAAATGAAAAAATGAAAGGGTAAAGCAAACGAAAGAGCCTTGTGGGTTGCAAACATGAGAAGGGCACTAAAAACGAAATAAGAATGTTTTTCTTACATTCATGTTAACGGCAGCGATTCACTCTCACTGCTTCTTTCTATGATTTATTTCATAATAACAACTTTGAAAATCTTATATCCCAAGCAGTCACATTCATTTCATCAAATGTTGTTTGAATATTGTTTTTAAGGATTTTAAGGTTGGACTAAGAAAGAATGATTTTACTTTGAACATGTTTGTGTAGTCACATGGAAGTTAGAAATATACTTTCGTGACGTGAGAAATTGTTAAGACTTTCACATTCATGGTTGGGTTCTAGTCG